AAGGCCACATGAGGAACCTTCTATGAAGCTGGGCATGTTCTGCTTGGTATAAAGGAGACTCCAGTGTGGCTGGCACCACCCTCCCTGGTGATAGTGACTCAGAGACTTTGGTTAAGTTCTATAGGGCAGACTAGGATCCACACAAGAGAAGTAGCAGACAGCCAGTTTGACCTTCATAACAAATTGGAGCTGTTTTAACTTTGGAATGGGCCTCTCTATTACTGGTAGTTGTCAGTGCTGATTAACATTTTGTTTGAGCACTGATTACATACCAAGTCCTTACTATGTGTCAAATACTTTTCATTTATTAGTTCACTCAAGCCTCACAATTGCCCTGTGAGGTTAGTACTGTTATCACCCCTGATTTACAAATGAGGAAATTGAGGTTAAGATACTTACCCTAGGTGACTGCCAGTAAGTGGTAGAGCCTGTTTAACCCAGATAGGTCTCTGCCTCAAAGAATGTGCATTTAGACACCGTGCAATATCACCTCTCTTCAAACAAGATATTGACTATCTGTGGGGGATACTATAGAGGAATCTCTAGCATCAGTTAGCAAGTATAACCAAATGACTTATGAGGATTGTTCTACAACAAAAATTCCATAACTTCAAGAGTTGTGTTGTTTTAGATCCAAAGGGAGAGGAAGGAAGGGAAGTAGAATCCTACTTAGAACCTAAATCTGAAACTTGAACTGTAGCAGGATAGTATCCTCAGCAGAATTTTCCTGAGACTTAGTGTGGTTGGTTTTGTTTGTGTGCCTGTGTATGTACACATGTGTACAAATGTGCCCATGTCTTGAACCAAGATAGCTTGGAATCTTGAGTAAATTCCTTAATGCAGGATTGAATTATAATTTCATTCACCTCAAATTATTTGCTTCTCTTTTTAAAACCCAGGCTTAGTGACTTGTGATCATTTACACCTTTCCTATTGACTTGGATATTTTTATAGATTTAACAGTAGAGTAAATCCAGCTTCGCATATAGGTCATTATTGCCCAGTGAAAGAAATCAAGAGCCCTGGAAGTAGCGTGTATGTCACTCGTTAATTATATCCCCAAGTCACTCTGCCAAAAGTCAGCCCCTGTGCCCCAATATCAAAATAAGAGCCTCATAGTATCACACAGAAGGACAAAAATGTTGTTGGATTTCTGTGTGCATGATTTTTATGTAAAAATTATTGGAAAATTAATACAGAGACATACTCTGGATTTCTGAATTGACTCCAGGAAAATATTTTATTTTGCCTAAGGAGAGAGTTTATATAATTGCCTATTTAAAATATACATAGGAAAACCTTAGGCAAAGATTGAGTGTGTGTACTAAGTAAGCATCAACACGGTAACTACATTAGATCCAACCACTAAATTATCTGTGGAAAGAGTAATAGATTATCCTTGGGTGGAGACCATAAGTAATTTTTAAGGTACACAGAAAAGTCTTTATTTATTTAGATGATATCTTATATCTGATAAAATGTTTTCATGAACTTTATTTCATGTGATTCTTTCAAAAATTCTATGAGACATAAATATCTCTTTTCAGAAATATATCAAACTGCATTATGATTGCCTTTGCCTGGCACATAAGGCATTCAGGTAGTATTTGTGGAACATTTTAAAGAAGAGCAAACTGATGCTCACCAGTGACCTACTCAAAGTCAGAGTCACACAGCTAGTAAGTAGCAGAGCTAGGAACAGAAGCCGGGTCTCCCAAATCCAAGTCCAGATTAAACTAAACTGCTACTTTTTCTACCTTCTTTGGATTTTTTAGTAACAGAAACTCTAGCTGACTTAGCCAAAAAGGAAGTGAATAATGGAAGGATGAAGACAGCTCACAGAATTGAAGGAAAAGCTAAAATGTCAAACCAGGAGAGTGTCAGGAATCTGGGCAGGAAAGACCAAGGGAAAGGTAGGCTCCATTGTCACAGTAGTTAATGGGTAGTTCAAACATGGTCCATCCTTGAACACTGTGGTGACCACTCAGAGTCCCAGGAAAGAGTCTGATGGATATATGACTCAGGTAGGCCAACTCCTGGTCAGGGAAGTGGGACCTCATAATTGATACTCACAAGTGAAAACAGAATGAGGGAAAATGGTTTCTCAAAGGAAATCAGAACAAAAGAAGGGAGAGTGGGAAAAAAAGGGAAAGTGAAGTGTTGCTGGCAAAAAGAGCAGATATCATAGATAAGGGAACTACATTTTTCTAACTGAAAATTGGGACACTTAAGTAAATACACCTGTAATGCCACTGCTTGTTCTTGTGTTTCTCCTACTAGACTAGGAACTTCTTGAATGCAGGAACTGTATTTATTCATCTGTGAATTCTCAGTGCTTGGTATAATACCTGGCACCTAGTAGGTGCTCGGTAGTTATTGTCTAATAAATGAGTGAATAGAGAAGCTCTACTACTGTCTCCATGAAAAACTGTGGTTACAAGTGCCTAATGGGGTTGACCTCGCTTTTGGAGCCACATAGAGCAGTCAACGTGCTAGCTTGTGGGAGTGAAATCTGAGCGGATCCCTGAGAAAAAAAGCTGATGTTTCACTCTACGTGCATGCTCCTTCTGCTTTGCCAGGCACACTTAATTCTGACTACAAATTAGAATCACCTGGAGCGTTTAACAGAGGCCTGAGCCCGGCCTCAGATTGAATAAATCAAAATCTCCAGGAGCTGTGCCCATGTCATTTTTTTCTTTTAAAGACTCCCCAGGTGATTCTAAAGTCAGCCAGGATTGAGAACCATTGTGCCACACTTGCTTTTGTTCAAGATAACTAAATGGGCTTTTAAATGTGTCAGCTGTAAATGATTAAACTTGCAGTATAAATGCTTATTACTGCCACATTGTAATTATATCCACGATGATTTCCACTCACTCACTCTCAGTTGGATGTTTTTTAAATAAACCACTGCAAGTCTTTTACATCTTTTTAAACAGAACTAGCAAACCAAGAACGACATTTGCCAACTGAGGAGAAACAGAGTTGTGAAATTCTGGGGGTGGTGTTGCTTTAGTGTGGCAAACAACCACTCCTAAATTATCCCTGTTCAAGTACTGGGTCTGAGGAAGAATGTCAGCCTATTCTTTATTTTTTCTCTGGCTTTTTTTTTTTTTTTAATCTGCACCTGTGTTCAGGCTGCATTTTCTTAGCAATTGCCACCTTATAAATTCTACCAAATACATAATTTTATAAGAACTGTGGTATAAAAAGCAATTTGTTTCTAGCAGGAAACCTTAGAACTGGATCTAAAGTAAAATAAAGTAAATTTTGCCTTCAGGCAGACAGCCCTAGTAGAGAGATGTCGCCTCCAAACTTTAAGCCTTCTAGAATAGCCTTCAGTATGTCACATTTCATTTGGTTCATGATGTAAGAGACATTTTAGTCAAGGTTGGAGGAAATAATTGTGAACAAAAGTAAATAAATACTAATTGTTATCCAAGTCAGTGGTTCTCAGCTACGGGTGATTTTGCCATCCCCCACCCCAACCCCCACCCCTAGACGTCTTTAGCCATGTCTAGAAATGCTTTTGGTTGTCCCAGCCTGGCAGGGCAGAGGTGGAGGGGTTGGGAGGATTTGGAGTGCTATTGACACCTAGTGGATAGAGTCCAGGAATACTACTAAGTGTCTTCCAGTGAACAGGACAGCACCCCACAATAAAGAATTATCCAGCCCAGAATGTCAATAGTGCTGAGGTTGAGACACCTTAAGTAAAGAATTGGAATGAATCCATTTCATCATGGCCCAAAGAATTATCTTCATGCTCCAGGACTATTTGGGCTTCAATTAACAAGGAAGTCTGGTGGCAGCTGAGCACTTGGGGATTGTTTTGTGTTTGGAACCAGTCTATTTCAGCTAGTCATGGTGGATAGTGGGTGCCTTCCTCTTCTTGCCTTCTTTCCATTGTCTGGAGGGGACTGTTTCCACTTGCAGAGACAGGCATTTGCAGAGGCACCTTTTGTAACAATTCTGTATAGGTTGTAGTTGTTTTTCAACAGAAACTGCTAATATTAATGGAATCTGCTAATAATAGCTATTATGCACCTAGTAATAATAACACATACTGTAGTAATACTTAAGTGTCATACGCTTCAAAGTGGAATGAATTCAAGTATAAAACCTCATTTCCAATAATACGTATTTTTAATGCAGAAGAATTGAACTTGGTAAATAAACTTGTTTAAAGTGAAAGGACAACCTAACTGGACATTATCACACATTCTTTGAGGTCAAATTAAGTATGAGACTCAAGTTCAGTGATTTCCTCCTTCCTGGCTGCATCCTTCTGCCACTTGCCTTGTAGAATAGCCTTTGCCAAATACTAGGGATCGTGCTGGGTAAACCAGATTTTCAGTTTCTGCATGTTTTCTAGAATCTCCTTTTAAGCATTGGCTTTTCTTTATGGGCATCTGCTGAGAGTCCACTCCCTCAAGCTAGCATGCTAATCAGTCTTTTTTTTTTTAAAGCCAGGTTCCCAAAAAAGCCAGTCTTAAGCAACCCACTACTTAGATTACTCACTCTTTTTATTCCTCGGGTAGTCACTTCTGTCTGAGGCAACTTTAGTAGTAAGGCAGCTGTTGTGTGTCAGTTGGGACCTCCTGAGACAAGAATTCCCCCTTGAAAGATTGTTTGGAGAGTTAAATGAGCATGTATAACAATTGCTAACACCTATTGGACATTTCCTTTGTGCCAGAAACAGTTCTAAGTGTTTTGTATGTATTACCACAACTACAGGAAGGTACTATTTTTATTCCCAATTTATAGATAAGGAGACTGTTAAATAACTTGTCTAATGAATGAGTGGTAAAGGCCAGACTTATGTTGAGACTGCGTGGCTCAGGTTACCAGGTTACCCTGCAAGGGAGAACCTAGCACAAGTTCTTAGTCCTGTGTTGATTGCTTTGATATTAGGTCACACTTAATTGAGATTCACTCATCTGCAATGCAAATCTGACTGGACAGTCAAGCTGCTTCCTCATTCTGTCTTGCTTTTCTGAGCTCTGTTGCAGAACAGACTGTTGCTTATCAGTCTCTGTGCACTGCAAGTTATGTTTATGTTCTTGTTGAATCTATTTCAAGGAATAAATGTAAAGTACCTCTCTGCTTGCTTATAATGGGCTCTGGTTGACAGATAATTAATTTTAGAAATGGGCACTGCCAGTGGGGTGCTAGATGTGGTTGGTACCGACTTGGGTGCCATTTGGACACTTCCAGGAATTTTGTGAGCTAGTAAACACAGCCATTATTAAAGTTTAAATTATATAAATTTACAGTTAAATAAATTATGTTAAAAACAAAAGTAAAACTCTGGGAAACCATTTGGCAGTTTCTTATTAAACATACACTTACCATACAACCTAGCAATTGCAATAGGTATTACAGAAATGTTAAAAAGAAAAAAAATAAGAAGGACATGTTTGTCACCTTTGACAAACAGGAGATTGGTGGTGGCCTTAGAAAGGTTTTGGGAAGGATTTATTTTGGGACCCCTCTAGCCTGTGTTCCATATCTTGGTAGATGGCACAACCATTCATTCAACTGGCCAAGGCAGAAATCTGAGAGTCATACTTTCCTACTTCCTACATTTAAGTGATTACCAAGACCTATGGGTACTCCTTGTAAATATTTCTCACTTTTCCCGCTTTACCCTTCACTTCCACTGCCCTGTCCATTCACTCTCTTGTCTGAACCACTGCAACAATCTATTCTCCCCCCAACTAATTCAGTCTTCTTTTTCAAGTGATTTTTCTAACATACAGATATAATCATATCAGTTCCATGTTGAAAAAATTGTTTAAAGACCCTCTATTCTCCATACTTGGTGTTTGTAACCTGGTGTCTATGAATCCGATAAGATAGAATGAAAATTGTTTGTGGGCATGTGCACATGAGCATGCACATGCTTCTTGGGAAAGGCATAGCTCTAATCAGACACTCAGAGGGGACTAGGACCCAAGAACGTTTGGTAAGTGATGCCTTTAGTGTAAATACCCTCTCTGCACAAAACTCAAGGTCGTTTGTAAGCTGACTTCTGTCTGCCCACCCAGTGCCATCTGCTACAACCCTCTCCCCCTAGTTCTTTATGACCAGCAATACAGATTTCTTTGTAGCATCCAGAATGTTTCATGTGCTCTCTTTTCCAGGTCTCTGTATAGGCTATTCTTCTTGCCTGGAATGCCATCTCTTTCCTCTGTCTACATTTTAACTTCAAATGTCACTTAAAGAGCTCTTCTTAGACTTTTTCCTGGACAACCTCTGTTCCCTCCACTTCCTTTGTGCCTTCCAGTATTCGTTATATTCTGTTACAGTTGTCAGTTTACAGATCTGTCTCCCCATCTGGACTGTCAACTCCTTCAGGGGTGTGGCTGTGTCTTTTCATTCATGTCTAGCATCTAGCATAGCATCTGTCATGTGGAGTACACAAATGAAGGGATCAGTCAGCTGCGAGACAAATATGTTCCCTTTTCACTCTTAGGTGCTCTTGATCAAACTACAGAATGGATAAAAGAATCTGTAAATGAAGAATTACTTTCTCTTTCTGAGACTGCTTTAACTCCTGGGGCCGAAAATAGCTCCAAGCTAAGCCTGAGCCCTACATTGGTGCTAAATAACAGTTACTTGAAACTGTTACAGTGGGATTATCAGAAAAAAGAATTACCAGAGGTAAGTGATTTTTTTTCTCCCCCCCAGGTTTCCCAATATTTTATTTCTTAAGTTCTGACTTTGAATCAGCTGGTTTGTCTGTGTTGCATGTAGTTTAATGACTTTACTAAAATCAGATAAAAATGGGAATTTGGATATGACATTGCTTATTTTACATTTTCATGGTACTGAGCTTCCCTTTCTATTTTTACATTTTAAATAAATATGCTAGACACTTATGACAGATGGAGCACGTCTTCAGGAACTGACAGAAAAGCTGAATCAATTGAAAATTATTGCCTGCCTGTCCCTAATTACCAACAACATGGTGGGTGCTATTACAGAAGGTCTGCCTGAGCTTGCTAACAGGTTAAAAAGGATTTCAGCTGTTCTACTTGAAGGCATGAACAAAGAGTAAGTTCCAAATGTATCTATCTGCTCTTCCTTATATTAAGGCTTTGCATGTATTTCTGAGAACAAGAATAACCTTGGACATCTGGATGTGATATTCAAGACTATGCTTTAGAGAAGCTTATCTTACACCTACTTTTTCTAGAATTTCTTTTAATATTTTGGAGGGCTTAAATGTCCTTTCATAGGAAGGGAGAGGGAAACAGTATAGGTGTCTGGCACATAGTATGTGCTTGATGAATGTTAGCTATTAATAACTATTTACTTGTTAAATCATCTTCTTTATAGTTTTATCTGGTTGTTTATCTGGCTGTTTTATTGTTTTAATTTTTCCCCTATGTTAGGAAATGAATACAGTCAATTCCCAATTATCTGCATTATGAATGGTGCAATAGCATTCATAATATAAAAAAGCAGATGATACGAAATAATGAGTAGACCCAGATGTCATTTATATTTGGTTTGATGATGCATCTTGAAAGGTAACAAAGTTTTGCCTTCTTTATTGTGAATAGGAAGCCATGGCTTATGCTAAAATTTAATTTTTCCTTTAGCCTAAGAACTCACTGATTAAAAGCAGAAAGAAGCCATGGTAGTACCTTATAGTGCATAAAAAGTCAGGAGGTAAAAATTTTGCCACAAACAATCTACCTTTGGGTTGTAGAACCCCAAAGGAAGGTCCAGTGTGAGTTTATAACAAATTCCATTCAAGGCATAACACCAAGGATTTATTTCTTATTGCTATTAGTGATGATAATAATAATAATGATAAACCATTTTTCTTTTTCTTCATCTGATTAAACATTTACTACATGCCTGAGACAGTCTGATAAGAGCTAATTTAAGCATATAGCAAGTTCATTGGTAGAACCAGGATTTGAACCCAGGACCACATGACACCACAGCTTATGTTCCAACTCACTCCATTGCATCACCTCGTATCATTGGGCCCTTCTCTCATCCTTTAATTCTCATTTTGCAGGGTTATCTTAAAGACCCGTTCTGGATAGTGAGATACAATTTTTAGTCATCATTCCCTAATAGTGTAGAGCCAACAAATGCCCTTTCTAATTACCTCCTTTTCCTTATCTATTAAATAACCCACTCTATAATTTCTTTTTACAATATTCTGGATCTATATATTTGGGATTATTCATCAGTTACTTGAAAGTAATAATGGAAAGGAGCTTATTATCTTTGGTCATGATCAGTCAAGAGTTTTAGGTAATAAGACCTCAAAATCAATATCTTTGTAGTTTTTGATTGGTGTTATAGATTTATTGATCAAGCGTAGATAAATGAATTGATTCTACCTCATTTTCCAAGTACATTAAAAAAATGTATGAATGAATCCACTCAGACCAAAGGATTTATTTTAAGAAGTAAATTGGTATTTTCTGTCCCTTTCTGATAGCCCTGCACATAAGTGGGATTGCTGACTTATTTTCAGGGACTGCATTTTTTG